AGCAGGTTGGCACCAGAATTCTTGAGTGCTGGATTTTACAAAATAAGCCAGTCAATCGTGATGTCGTTGTTGTCAACGATGGCCACCTACATAATAATTTCTTTGCAGTTTAATAGCATGTAAAATAATGAGATCGAATGTTAACTAGAAAATAACTGTTGAAAGAGAAATTGTATAAATAATAAAGATGTGAGATACCAGCATGTTTTTCAAGTCTGTCATATCCACCGCTATACGGCTATGTGTGAAATCGGTAGTCACTAAGAAATTTAAAAATAATTTAACCTAAATATTTTAAAGCGAGATTTAATTAGTGTCTGATTGAATACATACAATGTTTTTTTTTATATGTAAAAATTTAATGTTTCCTTGTAATGTTCATTTTATTAGTTATTTTAGAATTAGACGTGTTGGAGGACTTCAGCCAATCTGATTATATTTATTTTAATCTATAAAACATTTTATTACGATCATTAAAAAAAAATCAATTTGAGTTAAAGTTAAGCCTTAATACACAGGGTGTTACTTTGAATAGGGTGACCAGATTTTCTTGAAGTCAATGCTAGACGGCAAGAGCTAGATAGTCATTAAATACAAATACATTTAAATAATAAGTCAACTTTTAATTATTAAAGTATTGTTATTTAAATAAATATAAAAAATAATATAATAACATAAAAACTAAAAATAAAAAGTACCTACATATTTTATTACAAATATTTTTCAATTCTATGTATTTTTTTATCTCTTACATCAAAATGCAGAAGTAGCATCTCTGCGCCATTCAGAGGCAAAGGTCGGAATTAATCAAAAAAAGGCACCGTCCAGATCGAGGTCTACTTCTTAGATATTTTTTTATGGTGAGTAGTGGATAGAGGATAGAGATCTCAACTCTTATTAAATGCTGGATATAATGCTGGACGGTACTTCTAAATGAAGGACTGTCCAGCGCAATGCGGGACGTATGGTCACCCTAACTTTGAATGGGCTTCATATTTGTATGGAGACTGACCATTAGAAGCACATATAAGTATGTTCTCAGTTATACACTTATTCTATTTCTTGCAAACTGGTAGACTGCAAACTAAAAAAAATTAAGTATTGACTGACACATTCGGCCATTCTTATTTCACCAAATAAATGTTGGTCGTTTGTTTATTATTCACCTAGCTGCTGTTGTCTTGTCACATCTTTAAATTGATATGTAGATCACCTAAACTAGGTTAATGTCAGAGGTCATTGGCACTGAGATTCACAAATTAAAAATAGTGCTTTAAAAAAATAGTAACAAATACTTTTTACTAAAAACAATGATTTAAAAAATTTTTTCAAATCTATCGGAGTGGAATGGTTATTTTTTTATTTTGTAGGTACATTTTATAAAATGGCAAAAATTATTATTTTAAAACATACATTTTTTTCACTTACAGTTAATAACATAATTATGCCTATCCACATACCAATAGTTATAGTCTGTTTGGAAATGAAAGAGAGTAATAAAACCCCGAGATAAGAACCGGCCATGGGCGTGGTAATATTTCGTTTCAGGTAATTATCGGGTAACACTAATGCTAACAAAAATGACAGGGATTGGAAAATCGACTATCTACAGACTTTTAAAGGAAACAAAAAATGAACAAGATACTGTAAATCCCCCAAAATCATCTACAGGGAGGTCAAAAGTCGTTATAGATGATTTCTTCAAAAATGTCATTCGCAGAAAAGTACACTCATTTTATTTTAAAAAAGAAATACCAACGCTAAACAAAATTTTAAGTGAACTTTCAGAGGACAACGATTTGCCAAAAATCAGTAGAAGCAAATTATGGGCCGTCTTACGAGAGTTGAATTTTTGCTGGGAAAAGCAGAACAGGAAGTCAGTTCTTATCGATAAAGATGAAATTATTTGTTGGCGAAGATCCTACTTAAGATCAATTAGAAAATTCCGTGACGAAGGGAGGAATATTTATTATCTAGACGAAACTTGGGTCAACGAGGGATATACTGTAACAAAAGTATGGCAAGATAAAAATGTAAAAAGTTTTCGACAAGCATTTTTGGATGGACTTTCAACAGGGTTCAAGGCACCTTCAGGTAAAGGGCGAAGATTAATAGTGACACATATAGGTAGTGCCAGTGGTTTTGTAGATGGCGGTTTACTTTTATTTGAATCTAAAAATACAGGTGACTATCACGAAGACATGAACGCAGATGTTTTCGAAGAGTATTTTACACAGATGTTGGATCTTATTCCTCCGGGGTCTGTAATTGTCATGGATAATGCCAGTTACCATTCACGGCAGACCGAGCGGACGCCTACGACTGCTTGGAGGAAAGCCGATATAATTCAATGGTTATCCGGAAAAAACATTTCTTTTGAAACAAATATGGTGAAAAAGGAACTTTTGACACTTGTCAATCTTAATAAAGATCAGAAAAAATATGTTATCGATGAAATGGCAACAAATCGCCAAATAACGGTACTACGGTTACCACCTTATCACTGTGAACTTAACCCAATCGAATTAGTCTGGGCGCAGGTAAAAGGAGATGTAGCGCGAAATAATACGACGTTTAAATTAAGTGACGTGAAAATTTTGTTAAAAAATTCCTTGGAACGAGTAACTGCAGATAACTGGCAAAGATGTATACATCATGTACAAAAAGAAGAGGAGAAAATGTGGGAACTCGATAATTTAATTGACGTTACTGTGGAACCTATCGTTATCAATCTAGGAGACGAAGATAATTCATCAGAATATTCAGAGGATGAATTTTAATATACCTACTTTTTTATTTTCTTTATTGTACATTTATACAACACTACATTTACTCACCATAATTTGAATTTTCAAAATACATATATTTTTGTGTGGAATAAAAGTCTATTCATTAAATTTAAATAAATATTTTGATAATAATATTGAATAATTTTATTTGAATTACTAAAAACCCTCTTAACCCGGTTATGATGCTTAAAGTAGTCTCATGTTTTGAAATGCTGTTTTTAAATTGTTTACTTATAAGAGAAATGGACTGAGAAATTGAAGCGGCATAGACAAAGGCGGATTGTCGGGGATTAAATTTTAGCTACCTGCTACAATTTAGTACAGTCCGATCACACAAAATTTTTTTAAAAGTACACATCTATACGGAAAATACATAATATAAAAATATTGAATATAAGCACCAGTACTACATTTATTTACGATTTGCATACATAATAAGCTTTTATTACTCTCTTTCATTTCTAAACAGACTATAATATAAATCATGCAAAAAATATATATTTTTTTAAATACTGGAAAATTTGTACAGACCTTCCACATTGACATAAAAAAAATATGGTGACTTTAAATAATGTCTTGCAGTCATACAAAAGCAAATATTGGTTTACAAAATCATATTTCATTGCAATTTGGCTCCGTTATTCTGTTAGTTTCAGTTAATTGATTTAAATTAGAATTAGCACATACAGCAGAGTCAAGTCCAGCAGTGTTATATACAAGAGTTTAACAAATCAATTATTTTGACTAACCATCTAATTTAAATAAAAAATAATTTGAGATTAATATTCCCTCACTTAACCCTATACAGGGTGTCCCAGAATAACGTGTACAACGGAAGACCACAGATTCGTGTACTCAAAATAGGCACGTATGGGCTAATTCACCTATGTCCAAAATCGCTTCGTTTAGCCGCTAGATAGCCTCAAAGATTGTGAAAATTTTTTGAATTTTGTAGATAACTCAAATACGCATTATTCGATTTTGATTAATTTTAGGGTGTGGACTTTTGCTTTCAATCTACATATTTTGGTGTTATACAGTGTTTTTTAAAACCTATATCGAAGTAACATGTGGTATAACTTTTCGTAGTAAACACCCATTAAGATTTGGCAGGTACAATGACTTAAAGATCGAACTGAAATTACAGACAACCTACAAAATCAGTGACTATTAGCACTTTGTTAAGTATTGTAATATGGGTGGCATGATAATGTAGACATTTAAAAAATATTTTTTGTACCCAAACCGCTCATTCCACACACCCAAAAATAATCAAAATCAATTAATGCATATTCGAGTTATTTACAAAATTCAAAAAATTTTCACGAACTTTGAGGCCATCTAGCGGCCAAACGAAGCGATTTCAGATATAGGTGAATTAGCCTAAATCTGTTTATTATGAGTCCACGAATCTGTGGTCTTTCATTGTACACGTTATTCTGGGACACCCTGTATAGAGTATTTTTTTAGAGAAATTTAAATTTTAACCGTGCCAACTGTATCGTCATGTTGTAGGGTGGACCATATTGTACATCTGCATCTTTATAATGGCCTTTGCAGTCAGCAGTTATCAATCTTTTGGGTAATAGCCACTTAGGTTCATATTACAAATATTGAAATTAATTATCGGCCATATACAGAGGCTTCATATTTACAAGCCATGTGACCTCCGAGTTCAACCCAACATTGCTTGGCTGGTACTTTCAACTAAGTCCCTAAATCTTGACGTCAAAAATATTAATGATTCGTTCACAATGAACAATGACAAACAGTTACGTCTACGCCCGAGATAATGCGAACGCTGATTTGTTGAATAGAAAAATTACAGCCGATAAAAGAGAATCTTGTCTTTTAATGTAATCTAGATCTTGTTTTAATTTTACCAAAATTGAATTGCTTATTTTAAATATAAATTTTTTTTTTGAAAATCGGTGGCTTCCGACTTTATAGACAAATGACCCGAGAGACAACTCTGAAGTTACATAGACATAGAAAACACCCTGTATATGCAATTCTTTTAAGCTGATAAAAAAATAAAAGTACAGGTTTAGATATTTATTTGTCTTACTACGGTACATTATCAAATCTATAAGTAAATTCCATTAAAAATAAAGTGTCCTAATAAAAAAAATTACATATACAATACGCAGATATAAAAGTATATCAGAAAATTAAAAATACGTCAAGGAAATTTCCACACGGCGAGATAACCTTTAACGTCTATCTCTTGAATCGGACCGGCCACGGGAATCACGGCTCCTCGAACGGGAACGAGGTGAGCGGGAGCGCCTCGGCGATCTGGACCTATAAAATATACACACTACCATTAATTTACCTGGATCAAGTACAACGTAAACCATTTTAAATTCTGAGTTTAATAACAAAAATACTTATTGCAAATTCACCACTTATTATTGTCAATATTATGTGATTTGTTTAAGTAACTTGTGTGTAAGAGAAAAATAGTGCCTACTAAAAAAATGAACACCAAATTATCACTTGCCTACCTTTACAAGTTTTTAAGTTTGGCCTGAAAATATTAATAAATAGCTATTATCACAACAAGTTGCGAAATGGGAATGTTTTAGGCACGCTTCCTGTAAAACACCACCAAATACTTATTTCCCAACGTGATGTGAACAAGACTTTTTCTACAAACATCTAACACTTATTTTTAAGAAATAGCCTCGAATTCCTCTGAATCCTTTTTATTAACAGATAATTGTGTGACTACTAGCTTCTGGATCTCCATTATGCAACACATATGTGATTTTTTTAAATTACATATTTAATTTTGAAGACTATTAAAGAATTTTAGTCTTGAGTCTCGGTTAAAAACTTGATTAACTGATCAGGCGATTAGACTGTACATATAGATTTATTTTATAAAGTATGTCACTTTTAGATACATCCGATAAAAAAAAAATCAATGTAAAATTAAAATGCAATTACAAGACGTTTGTAGAAAAATAATTTTCAAAACTACTATCAGAGAATGTCAACTCAATCATTTATAACAGCTAACTCTACGATTTTAAGCAGATCTTTACCTGATCATAGAAATGTTTCAACAAATAAAACTGTGCATCATGCGCAACACTTACAGCATGCATCTATTTGAGAGGATCTTTACACACATTTCACTTGAACAAACCAAATGTAAACCTAAGATATTTTCCGATAGAACAAATCTATTTAAATTTTAAATATCCCACCAGTCTCTGGTTGTTTTAGAAGAAATTAAGATGTGACGGAAGGCGTTGTGGAGCTGATTGTCGTAGTAAGATGTCAATCGTTAAGATGATAGCTGTGGAGATAAACCCTCACGCTGGGGGACAGTGGAACAGCCACTAACGCTGTGTCGGTTTTATTTTGACAATTTTGCTATTGCCTGCTGGCTAGTGGTGAGGCGATTTCGCGAGTTGTCATTTTTTCATTAGCGGGTTGAAAGCTGAAGGCAGATGTTTTTCACACACCACCATTGGTGGATGGTCTGTTGGGTGTAATTCGATGTAAGATGAAGAGATGTGTAGGCCAGGGAGGGATGTGTGGGTCTCAGTCTCAAGAGGGAGAATACAACAGCAGTGGCGCTGATGGCCTGTAATATGAGCGCCAAACCACGTTATACTGCTGCTGTAATTTAATCAACATTGTTTCAACTCACAAGTCGACCAATAACAGAGAAACGGGAAGCAAAAAGTTGTATATACCAACCAAAATTAATGCACTACTACAAATATGTTTCCATTTCAAAATTTATTATCTAGCAAATGGTTAAATCTGATTTTGGTGATCTCTTTTTTTTTAATTATCGGTTTATTCTTCACTAATTGCTGAATTTCAATTTTCAGCTTATACAGGGTGCAAGAGAATTAGTTTTTCTCCCCTAAATTTGAAACACCCGGTAAGGCTAAATTAAAGACTAAATTGTATTGTAAATAACAAGTAACAGTTAATAATGAAGACACTTGTAAACATGCCTTAATATATCTGAAAAAGGTTTAGCCACCTTAATTCAACTAATAAAAAGGAAAATTTTAAACCCTTGCGCCAAAATTTATTGCAAATAAAATTTATAAACATATCATCATTGATCGTGAAAAACCTCCTGTGTGTAAAATACCATTTTTTCACAGGAGGGAGAAAAACATTTTTCTATTGTTTTTTATTTAAAACTGAATAACTAGGAAAGAACTAAAATAATAACAAAAAGCTCCTGATAAATAAAAATTATTATCAAATTATCAAAAAAATTGAGATTTTAATACACAGATTTTAATCGTTCCAAATTAACACATCGGAATAAAATTCTGTGCCCACATAGGAGAATTTTGTAACCAATGAAAAAATATCGTATGTGGTTTATAACGTTCGTTTAAAATCTCCTATGTGGACATATCAAGCTGAAATAGTACAGAGGTTGTGAAGCCAAAATTTCTTCTATGAAGAATATATTTTACCTAGAAGCTATTCGGAGACGAATTTAATTCTTTTGCACATAGGAGGTTTAAAAAAACACGGTTTTAAGCAAGAATGATTATAATTAGTAAATAGAAAGTTTTATTAAATGATAAAAGATATGAACTAAAAACTGGTCTAAACGCCACATGGGAGGTTTTTGATGCTCAACGACGATATGAAAGAATTCATAGGCAATGAAAAGTTTATTAAATAAACATTATAGTCCTCCATATCTTTATAGGCCAACAAAAATTTGAAAACCTGATATCCCGTTAAGACCAATAGTTAGCTCTGTTAATTCATTTTGAATTATTATTCAAAATGAATTAACAAAGCAAATTATTGGTATTCACAAGAAATTAGCTAAATATTTATTAGAAATTATTAAATAATTTGCTAGATTTTAGGAATCATATAAAAAAAAACAAACTGATTTCTTTTAACATTATCTAATTTAAATTATTTTTTAACCACTTAATGTTGACTTTTCATGTTCCATAGGTAAAACAATTAATCATTATCGAAATAAAACAATACGAGTTTTAAAAACATCAAATTTAAAAATTGAAACTTTTAAAATTATATACAGTAGAATCTCTATAATCCGCCGCTTCATTACACCGGCACATCCAGTATTTTATATTTTCAATTAAAAGATTAACAAAATGTTTAATTTCAAATTTTTAAACTTTCATCTATGGGATATTTTGAAAACAAATATATTAATAAGTCAAAACAAAATATCTATAATTCTGTGAAGATGCGTTGATATTTTCGCAATTTGGGCATATAGTTTTGACAATTTAAATAATTTCAACGTTTGTTAATTTGTGACGAAACCCAAAAATGGAGGACAGTGCAATAAATTTGATAATAATTTATGATGCAGAATAATACAGAATGGCAACAAAGAATAAAATGTGGTAAAAATTCATAACTTTTTGTAATAATTCGTTCTTACATAAATAAACTTTTGTGTGAACGCAATTTTTTGATTTCACAAAAACACATTTGCATTCATTCTAACATGAACCACCCTTAAATTTATAGGTTCGAAAAAGGTCATCAAATTCAGAACAGCTTTTTATGAAACATTAACTTGAAATTGGAGACCCTATTTATGTGGTGCGTTAATTTTGATATGTAGTTTATTTCATTAAGATTTTTTTAACTAAATCAGTTACATTATTCACTTTACTTGAATAGAAATTTCATATTCATAAAAATGAGTTTCATAACTCAAAGTTGATTTTCTAATTGATTAACTATGAAAAAAAAGAAAAACCTTCAAACAAAAATTTCCAAGAAATTGTTCTTTACATTATTGCAGTTAGGTATTTTAAATTAAAATTGAAAAAACAGTAGGCCTTCACTGTGAGTTGATACTAAATATCAAATTTGTAAAAAACTACTTTTAGACCATATATACATTTTCAACTAATCAGATACAGACCTTGAATAGCGTGATGGTCCTCTCCTACCACCACCTCCTCTTCTGGACCTCCCATTGGACATTTCTACCCTTACCCTTGTGCCACAGCAGCGTCTGTAATAAAATATTAACACGGTTGCTGTATAACTGCTCATTTGCTATCTTCTAAATATTTATTAGCAATATAGGACTTACGTTCCATCTAATCCTCGTACGGCATCTTCAGCATCTCGAGGGTCCTCAAACTCGACAAAAGCAAAACCTGGAGGATTTCTGGCAACCCACACATTCCTTAAAGGCCCGTATTTACTAAAGGCGCTTTCAATTTCGTGTTTACTGGCCGATGAACCCAAATTTCCTACGTATACTTTACAAGAAAGATCCCATTCACGATAGCGAGACATCCTGTTTTTGAAATGCATTAAAAGGTTTATATAAAATGGACAAAGATTTATAATTTTGTTTTGTTAAATGCGGATCCCACTAATTCTAAATATGGAGAAATCTTTAATGCCCAACCCTTCAAGTAACTTTCTTTAAAAATATATGAAAAAGATAAGCAAATTGCTAACACTTACCTGATATTATAGAGTTAAATAAACTTGGCAAAATAAGTAAATTATAGTAAAAAATATGTATATTTCACCCAAATAATCCCACAAAGCAGCCCAAAAATATTAAAATGGCGTAGCAAAACAGCGTCACACAACAGAACTACATTCTATTCTATTCTACATTCAGCACGCGGCATCATAGATTAAATAGAAACGCGGCGTAATGGAAGGAACAGTTCACTGACACTCTTCTACCTTTGACAGATCAGTATTTAGTATTGGAACACGTCGTAAAGTGCGCTAATGAATAGAAATACGTGGAATCGGTGCAGTTGACTCACGCGCGCCATTATTCCATGGCTAGAAATTGGCCTCTATGATTTGGGATCGAGGGGGATTATCCCTCTTTATCCTGCCTCATCTCGTGTAGGCCTGGACAGCCTTCGTAGGTGGGCCCCATCCGTCGTCTACCCCGACCGCAAATGCGGCCGGTGTAGGCGCTTTGTGGGACCTCCTTTTGTCCTGGCTGGGCCCCGCCGGCTAGGGCCCTTTCTTCTGGCGCTCTTCTTGCTTCGCCGGCTCGTCTGTGTAAACCCCGGGGGTAGTGTCATGTTTATGTGTGGTATGGTTGGGTAGGGTAGTGCGGCTATGCAGCCTGGGATGCGCTTTGCTAAGGTGGCCCTTAGGCTAGCGCGGGAGGG